CGTAGCCCAGTGGTGGCTCCACGCCGTGACGAGTCCTCTGACTCCGTCTACGGGTAGCCCTTTCCTACTCGAGCCCCCTCACCATGCCCAAATGCTAGGTCGGCTCTGATACCAAATATAACGACCCGAGTCTGATGGGCTAACTGGCCTATCAACTTTCGTTTGGTCTAAACCACTGACCAAAATGCTTAAGCTGAAGTTGATAGTAGTACACTCATCAGACCCTTATAAGTCAATCTTAGTCTTGCCCACTTTCGATGTGGGACTAATCAGGGATGTTACAAGAACAATCTGTAAAATAAAATGTATGATTGAGATAATTGTTCAAGTTGCTTCTTACACCACTTCTGCTTTCCGCTTATGTTTTGCAGCCTCATCATCTGAGACAGCACTAGTTACACTTTTTGCTGGTTGGGCATGCAAGGGTCAACTGCACAATATCTCGAGATCTGGCAGGTTTACATGCTTGTCTTTAAAAGTGGCAGATGGTTTCATTCAAGAAGAGAAGGATAAGATAGAACAGAATTGTGGTCAAGCATTCTGTGCATTTGCTTCTCCATTAAGAGAGATATCAGCTGTCCATACAGAGAATGACAAGGATCCTGTTGACCGATGTTGCTTCCCACAATCTTGTAGAAACAATAATGAGGTTGGAAGTTTAGATATTTTAGTTCTCCAAAAGCATTTTTCCAATAAGCAAACTTGCTTTGCTTCTGGATTAGGACTTAACAGCAATAGCCTACCTGTAGATTCCATGTCTAAAAAATCAGAGTGTTCCTTGTCTTGCAATTCTTCTGCTCCTCATATAAACTCAAATCTCTTTTCATGGGAGACAGAAATCACCTCATCCAATTCGGCACATGAATTCAGGCCTATTGATACCATATTTAAGTTTCATAAAGCAATTCGTAAAGATTTAGAATATTTGGATATGGAGTCCGAAAAGCTTATAGGTTGTGATGACTATGAGGCATTTCTTTGCAATTTTAGTGGAAGATTTTGTTTGTTGTGGGGCCTTTATAAAGCTCACAGTAATGCTGAAGATCGTATTGTATTTCCGGCTTTAGAATCAAGAGAAACCCTTCACAATGTTAGCCACTCCTATATTCTGGACCACAAACAGGAGGAGAAGTTATTTTCAGATATATCTGCAGTTCTGACAGAGCTTTCACAATTACGTGAAACGAATAACAAGACATATAAGATGGCTGACACAACTGGAAGTGACTGCAGTTACTCTGTCCATGATATTTGTTGGACAAGGAAGCACAATGCACTTGCTACCAAGCTTCAAAGTATGTGCAGATCCATACGAGTTACTTTGGACCAACATGTTTTTATGGAGGAACTTGAACTCTGGCCATTGTTTGACAGCTACTTCTCTTTTGAGGAGCAAGACAAGATAGTTGGATGCATAATTGGGATGACTGGAGCAGAAATTCTTCAGTCAATGTTATCCTGGGTAACTTCTGTTCTAACAGAAGAGGAACATGACAAGATGATGGAAACATGGAAGGAAGCTACCAAAAACACTATGTTTAATGAGTGGCTGAATGAATGGTGGGGTGCAAGACCTATTTCTTCACATGACCCTGAAGAGGCAAATGTTCTTCCAAAAGGTTTGATGTTGTGTTATTAATAATTTGTATCATAACCTTATCTAGGTCAATAGAATAGTATAGAGACATTTGAAACTTATGTGAGTCTTTTGTCTTCTTTCAATTCACATTATTCTATTAGGAATGGAACAACAAGAGAACCTAGATCAAATTGATCAGACATTCAAGCCTGGTTGGAATGATATTTTTCGAATGAATCAAAATGAGCTGGAGTCAGAGATACGAAAGGTTTCTCGAGACATAACACTTGATCCACGAAGAAAGGCATATATTATTCAAAATCTTATGACAAGGTTTTCATGGATTATATTCATGTTTTTTATACCATTTCTAAACTTGGATCATATGTTTATGTATTTGTGACCTTTGAACTAATTACTGCAGTCGCTGGTTAGCTGCTGCTGCTAAACAGAAATTGCCACATGCATCTACCAGTGAGGACAAAAATGGTGATGTTCCAGGATGTTCTCCATCATATAGGGATCTGGAGCAACAGATATTTGGTTGTGAGCACTATAAAAGAAACTGCAAGCTTCTTGCTGCTTGTTGTAAGAAGCTCTTCACATGCAGGTTCTGCCACGACAGCGTCAGTGATCACACAATGGATAGGTAAATTGTTCTGAAAGCATCTGGTTATAGTCTCAACAACAGAGACAACAACACTTTATTGGTGTCAGTTATTTATTTTCTTTATAAAATACTTATCCTTATGTGAGAAGTTACGTTCATGTCATTATCACCAACATTTTCTATAGTTAACTGATCATTTAGCCAATGGTAGACCTGATGCAAGCCTGGGAGTCCTTATCTCATGAGAATGCTGTTCCCAAGCTTGTCACAGTGGAGGTTTGTCAAGGAAGAAACACCCATGCTGATATAGGTATTACCCATGCTAAGGTAGCATGTAGATGACTGGAGGGAAGATAAGGGAGAAATAAGGTAAGATAAGGTGAAACTATGGTCAACTAACCTGAACTACCGAATACTCCTATCAATTCAAATAACATGCTCGGGAATTTTTTTCCCAATACTCCTTTCCATTCCATGAGGGTCAAATCCTAGAAAATTTAATTTTTTTCTAAGAGTTTTCCATGTATCTTATCGGGCTATGTAATTCCATGCAGGCCTTGATCCAAGACATGCACCACTAACAAAGCTACAAGGTGTACCCTTCTAGCTAAACCTGTATCGTAACTCAGAGCATTTTACGTTCTAGGTCAATATAATTCTGGATATCACTATGATAGAAATGGTTGAATTCTTTGTTGATGACCAGCTCTGAATGTGCATTCACTTTGCATATTTACTTACAAGCGATTACTTACTGTATATAGCAACAAAGTTATATTGGCTCTACCTATTTTTAAAGTCTTCTATGACTGGTTTGCAGGAAAGCAGTGACGGAAATGATGTGTATGCGCTGTCTGAAAGTCCAGACAGTTGGTCCAACTTGCAAGACAGATACCTGTAATGGATTTCCAATGGCAAAATACTTCTGCAAATTTTGCAAATTTTTTGATGATGAAAGGTACTGCACTTAGCCCTAAAATATTTGGATGCATAGTTGATCAGAAGTTTATTCAGAAAACGAGCACGGTTTACTGATCATTATTTTATCTAAGGGTCTCAATGCAACTTTAGCATTGTTCTTCTTCATAGTTTGAACTTTGAACATTGATTTCTGGATTACATAGCTAAGCCAGGATTGGGCCTTCAAATTTTTGCTTGGCGGTCCCTATGGATTTAGTTTGTGTCTGCAAATTGTGTTGCTCAAATAAGTGAACTCTTCTTGTTTAGCCTACATTATATTTTCCATTCCTTTTAACTTCAAAGTTGAACCCATTGGAATGACATGGGATTCCCGAACACCTTTCTGTGAGAGTCAATTGTTTATATTAACTTGCTAGCATAGAATTGCCAGTCAGATTAATTTACCTACTCGATTGTATTCAGTGACTACTAGATATGATTTCCTTTCCTGATATATAAGATTTAAGAAGACATTTACTGTTTTTCTTTCGGTAGAAAATTTTTCATGCTCTTGTAACAACTTTTTAACAGACTTCATGCATAGGTGTGCTGAAAGTTGAAAAAGTCTGTCTGATCGATCGAGTCTGAGTAAAACAATTAGTGATATTGGCACTGATTCTGATTATATGAAGAAGAGCAAATTGAATACATTATCAATACAATAATTTCATATTGTGTTGTTTTTAAATTGGCAACAACTTGCTGATGAAAAAGATGTGCGGGTCTCTTACGAGGTATAACTTAATCATAGTGCTTAAACAAAGATAAAAGAATGGGTGGCCCAAGGCTTCTGCCAATCTGAGACGCTGCGAGCATCATTATATGCAGTCTTACTCCATCAAGCATAGAGCCTGCGCTTAAACATTAATGTGCTTAGACAAAGATGCTGGGTTTAAGTATCTGATATCGCTTACTGCTTGAGTGCAGAAATAAATTTGTATTACACGATAAGGGTCTCTCTGAATTATGTTGGGTCATATTGTTAGTTCAGTTCATTCATATACAACAACTGTCTGATCTTCTGACCTTGTAGCTCTTTGTATTATTTAAAACTTAAAAGAATGGTTTAGAGATGATTTCATCTAGGAGTAAAAGCTTCTCTATGATTCTTTTTTTTTTTTTCCCTTTCTCTATGATTCTTTACAATGATATATTCTTTTGTTTATAACTGAACTCCTGAAATAATTTATTCTATTTCAGGACTGTATATCACTGTCCATTTTGCAATTTATGTCGCCTTGGAAAAGGACTTGGCATCGATTTCTTTCACTGCATGAAATGCAATTGTTGCCTAGGCATGAAGCTAATGGACCATAACTGCAGGGAGAAAGGTCTAGAATCAAATTGTCCCATATGTTGTGATTTCCTGTTTACATCAAGTACGCCTGTCAGAGCTTTACCATGCGGCCATTTCATGCATTCAGCTTGCTTTCAGGTGAAAGTTTCTCTTGATACAACGATATGATTTCAGCAATCTTTCTTGTTTTCTTCTCTGATAACTTTTAGGATTGTTAGAGCCTAACTTGCTTTCTGACCTACATAGGCATATGCTTCCAGTCACTATACCTGCCCGATCTGCAGCAAGTCTTTAGGAGACATGACGGTAAGAATCATTCTATTTATTTTATCATCCTCAAGTTTAAAAAGGGCTTTTAGACTGTTATCTCAAGAATTAACATAGTTGTTTGGTTAATTTAAGAAATCTTAGAAAATTTAAGACCTCAATATCTTGAATTTTGCTATCATGATGAGGAAACCATGGATCCATGAAAGAGCATCAATTTCTTACTTGCTCACAAACCCATCAGACAAGTAGGGATGAAGTGTGGTGTCGGTTATCAGGGTGGCAGCTCATGTACCTAATGATCACATAGGCCTTCTTTTCAGGTTTAGGTTCTTTTGAGGATAACGACACATGGTCTTATCATCACTGTCATCAACATGTTACTTTGTTTTACATTTCTGCCTCTGTTTTTAATTCAATCGTGATTTTTCAAAGGTTAATGGCAAGATTTCAGGCACCTAAGTGCAGCACTTACTTCTTTGCTGTAAATGATGCATCTACATACCTTCAGGTCTATTTCGGCATGCTTGACACCTTGCTAGCTTCAGAACAGCTTCCAGAAGAATACGGAGATCGTTGTCAGGTTTGTCATCTTACTCCTGATCTTCTACTGCAGCTCTTCTTAGTATCTAAAACAACATTTCATTTTGCTCATTCCAAGTGATGTTCTTCGCCAGGACATACTCTGCAATGATTGTGATAAAAAAGGGATGTCTCGCTTTCATTGGCTCTACCACAAATGTAGCTTCTGCGGCTCGTATAATACCAGGGTAATCAAGAATGAAGCTAACTCTTGTCTCACATCAAGCAATTGAAGTTTTCTTTGGGAATTTCTATCTCAATTTTTCAGGTTCAAATTTTCTGTATAATATTATAAATTTTCTTTATCGATAGGGGAATCATCTAGGATTATTTGGATATGTCCAAAGCATACTTACAGATGCATCCATCTCACAGAATCAATTACCTCTAATTAACGATACAAGAGGTAAAGAAATATGTTAATGGGAAAATTTTGTGATAGTTCGGTTCACCTACTTCAACTAGTTGAAGTAGTATCATGCTCTAAAATATGCAATTTTATATTTGTTTTTGCAAAGGGTAAATGGTGAAAGCTAGTTTTGATTTTGAAAAGATATTAATCAGCTAAGTTAGCTAGCAAATAAAATGGTAGATTTTTTGATGTAAGAACAGGACATCAGGTGAAGTTGATGTTTTCTTGAGGCAATTGAACGGTTTATTTTCATCTAGGACAAAGCAGTGCGGAATGTGAATTTGTCGTTTGGGATAAGTTCAAGAGAAAATTTTGAGACATCTTCATTGACTTTAATATTTCTATTGGCTATATTTTGAGGAGCTAATTATAGATTATATTATGTAGTTAGATTTTTTTAGTATCTTCATCTGGACTTAAAAAATTTATATTGAAATCCTTATAGTCGAAACATTTAGCTTCATTTATTCTAACGTCGTCGGTTTTATCGATGGAAATACTGAAACAAAAGGTAAAATGGTAAATTTAATATTTCAATTGATGGTGGTGGATTATGTTAGTGGTGGTGGATGACAGTGTTGTTGGAGATTGCAAATGGCTGTTGTGGATGAGGAGAATAACAACGAGAGGTGAGAGTCGTTTTATATCTCTATCGCTGTCGATACAAATGTAGAGCTGCGAAAGAGTCGTTCAAGTGGCTGTTGTAGATAAGGAGAGGGACGACGAGGGGTGAGGGCTGGTTTGCATCTGTGTCGACATCGACGCAGTTGCTGAGCGGTTATTTCGTCGCCCTGCATTTGCACTGACGACCCTTTCGTTGCTTGACAATTACGTTGACACCAATGCAGATGCAAAGCGATGTTATTTTACGTTTGCATTGATGTCGACGCAGTTGCCGAGTGATGAAAGGACTATCGATGCAATGTCAAGAAGCACTTTTGCTACTTGGCAATTACATTGATATCGATGCAGATGCAGAGCGACTCTCACATCTCGTCGTCACTCTTCTCATCCACAACAGTCACTCGAGTGGCCCTTTCTCCACTCTATAACTGCGTCAACGTCGACGTAGTATTCAAGTGATGAAAGGGCTATCGATGCAAATGTCGAACGACTCTTTTATCGCTTGACATCTGTGTCGGCATTGATGTGGCCCTCACCTCTCGTTGTCGTTCTTTTCATCCATAATCACTCGTAGCCCCCAACGATGTTATCGTCCGTCACTACCAATTTAAACATTAAGATTATTTTTTTATCATTTATTTTTATATTTTCATCGATAAAATCGATGACGAACTAGATATTTCACTTTCATAATTATTAAGATTATAATGTAAAATTTTTAAGTTTAAAAATTAAAATACAAAGATGTCTATATTGGGTAATATACCTCATTTTGAGATATCTTAAAATTTTGCAGATGGACGTCGTGTTGTATGAATTTGAGATTTGGTATCGTTATTTTACCGATGATAACACTTATAAATAATGGGTCTAAATTTGAGGCCAAATCGAACGAACTCATCGACAATTACTTATCAATCCATCATAATCCATCTCAATGTGCTCGAGTCGTTCGCCACCGTTAGTCGAAATATAAATAATACTTTCTAAGCTATGATGGCTGCAATTTAATATCTAATAATAACGAATTGGCGAAGAGACGTCACCAGTGAGATCGATCATGGATTCGAATCAACTCAGGCCCAATAACGATGGGGTCCAAAAGCTCCAACCCCTTTCCCGGCGACTTCGTCTTCCGTTCTGTCCCCAACGTAAGAACCTCCTTCCTATAAGTCCTCGTGGCTGTGACCCCAATGAGCAGTCCGAGACAAGAAAGATGGATGGTTTCTTGAGCATCAAAGGCTTATGCTTATTGCCTTTTTATGACTTAACCCGATAGGTAGCCGAAGAAAGATGGTTTCTTGAATGCTTATAGCTTTGTTGTTTACCTTTGCTCCGTCGAATTCTTGGAAGACAACCATATTCTCCTCCTCCTCCTCCTCCGAGAGAGAGAGAGAGAGAGAGAGAGAGTAAAGCGCCTTGCTGCCGTTGCTGCTTCGCCTTTTTCCTCCGTTCTTAATACTTCTTTCTCTTCTTCCCTCGAAGCGGCCTCGATTAGGGTTCTCGAGAGGAGCAAGGAAGCATGCCGTCACGATAGCTCACGGTTGCGAGGTGGGATTCGACACCGTCCCAAAGCGATCCAAATAATGTACGAAGTATGTGTCTCAGTAAACATGCTTAATTACATGTTACACCTGTATAATAATGAAAGTAAAATATCTATGTTATTTATCATAATGTCATCCATTTTACTAATAAAAAAAAAATTTAATATTTCAGTTGGTGATAATGGACAACGTCGGTAGTGTTAGACAACGACATCGTTGGGGGTCGCGAGTGATTATTGTGGATGAGGAGAGTGATGATAAGAGGAGAGGGTCGCTCGATATCTATGTCAGCATCGATGTAGTTGACAAACGACAAAAAGGTTACTCGACATCTGCATCAATATTAATGCAGGTGCAAAGTGACGTCACTTGATAACTGCATCGATTCTGATGTAGAGTGACAAAAAGGTCGTTTGATAACTGCATCGACGTTGACGTAGACGTAGATGCAGAGCATCGAAAGGGTTGCTCGACAACTATATCAGTATCGATGCAAATGCAGAGCAACCCTCACCTCATGTTGTCTCTCTTCTTATCCACAACAGTTACTCACGATCTCTAATAGCATTATTTCTACCATCACCGATGTCGTCTGTCACTACTAATTATAACATTAAAATTATCTTTTTATCTTTTATTTTTATATTTTTGTTAGTAAAATCGATGACGTTAGGATAAATAAACCTAGATATTTCATTTTCATAACTATAAGGATGCCAATATATCTTTTTAAAGTACTGGGATTGGGATACTAAAGATAACTAACTACAGAGGATAATTTATAATTAGCTCCCGGATAACACATATTACCTCTTGTACTTAGACCTTATTAGCATCGTGATCCTTATATTTAAAAAAACTATATTAAGATCCTTATAATTCTGAAAATAAAATAAATAATCATATTTACCTTAACGCTGTTAGCTATATTGACGGAAACCCAACATGTGACATCACATGCTAGATCAACAATGAAAATAATGAGTAAAAAGATGATAATTTCAATATCCCTTCCATTTCAACATATGAGATGTTGAAATTACCTTTCTGTCGGTAAAATCGTTAAAAACGAAAAGGATGTTAAAATTATCTTTTTACCAATCACCTTCGCAAACCAAATTAGCATGTGATATCACTTGTGTTTTCTATAGCCGATGGTGTAAACAAAAAAGTGATTATTTATTTAATTTTTAGAACCGTAGAGATCTTAGTTTGAATTTTTAATTAGAAAGATCGTGATGCAAATAAAGTCGCACTTCAAACCACTTACGATTCATCGTGCCCACCACCGTACTGTTGGGTTGGTAAGGAGACAGGTAACGATGGTTATAGGTAACGATGTATAACCATTCATATGTATTGTTCTTTTGAATGAATATTATTAAGCTTACGAAAACTTTTTATAAAATTGTCCCAACATTGGACAAGAAAAAATTTAAAAGCTCAAGAAAATCCTAAAGAAAATTAAAGATTTCTACGACTAAGGAAGCCACATACGCATGCAACGATCTTTATCGTTGGGATCGAGTACTATATTTATCCTTTCTCTCGTCTCATCGGCCATATTCTCCCTTGTCTTCTAATTAATAATCATCAAACCATATATATCATATCCAAAGTTTTCACCATGCGACCCGCAAGAACATGAAGAACGTTGAAAGAGCGTGAGTAACAAAGTCTGAAATGTTTCAAGAGCGCAAGTGACGTATCGCATGAATCCAAAGAGACATCCTAGTGGCTGAAATGTTAAAATTGCAATAGGCATAATATAGTCGATTTGGATATGAATGTGGATACAAGCTACCTTCACTCCAAGAAGGTAAGATCAAACAGGCAACTCAGGTGGATATGGAAAACAGGACAGAATGAAACAAGCAAGAAGCTTGCGAGCTTTCCAATAACTAGCTTGTATTACAACAAACAACAGTGAGAAAAGGACAGCACTTATGTACAGATTTCCATCGGCAAACCGAGGAAGCAGGTTTGCTGATTGCACAATGTTTTCTCTGCATTGCAACAACAAGAATGTGATGGGCAAAAACTTAATACATACGCCCAACTACGGCTATAACTGCAAAATGAATTTGGAATGCAAATCCTCTCTTGCATGCTATAGGATTTTGATTAAGCTGGTGCGGTGAAGCCTACACTAGAGACGGTGAGGAAGCAAATTGTACCTGTCCTTCAGGTCACTGAAATGAGTTCGAAATGAGAATAAAAGTGCACCGGCAGTGTTCATCATCTTTCACTACCTGCAAATCTACAAAATGAAGCAAAATTAGGCAAAGCTAATAGAAGAATCCTTTGCGTTAATTGAACTCATAGAATAGCAGAAAGTGTATTTTAGTTACATGCTGAGTTTGACAAACCCTTCCTTAAGTTAGCTAGCTTTTGCATTTTATTCCACTGCCCTCTGCCTAAGAAGTGGGGAGAAGAGACCAGAGTCATGATAACACATTGAGCTGTCTAAACCATCAGTCACCTGAAAATATCCTCAAACAAGTTCTATAGGATCTGTAGGCTTCTAGTGGTATGAGGCTCGGACTGATTATCCATAATCTAGATATCCTGTTTCAACTGTTCATCCAGCTTCCCATGCACCTGACAAAAGAATGGTTTTAACATCATGGGTTTGTTAATATGTATATCTACATTGAATTAATTTAGGTGTAGGCTCTCCAAGAATAAGTAAACCAGGCACTTCAGTGTCGCTGATTATGCCTCCAACTTGTATCTATGGCTACTGTCACATTAGAGAATCAGAAAAGAGAGAGAGAGAGAGAGGATGACTTTGACTTCAATGGCTAGCCCTAACAATGAAGCCAGTGGAGAACTCTGATGACGGGCAACGATTCCTGCAACAATGTGGATAAGACAAGCTGTGCCAAACTAATATGTGCTTGTAACAGCCTAATATTATGAATTTCTATGCTGCTCCATGCTCTTTCAGTTGTTGACCAATGTCTTTCTCAACATGCTTCCCAGCATATGATTGACCAACATGAGTGGCATGATTTCTACATGTATAATTGGCAGGTGGAAGAATGAAAATTTTAAACCAAAGAAAATTCTCATCATATCACATATTTTGACTTTTTAATTCAAATTAAAAAGTATGCAATAATTTGAATCATAGTGACTACATTTGACTGTATATTACAATAAATTAGAGAAACTTAAACGATCAAAAAGATGACCATGAGCGGAATATGATCAGGTCAAGAGCATGCATAATAAACATTCTTAAAGCAAGAGTATATTCGAGTTCTCATGGTACTATGATTTGCAACTAAAAGTGATTCTTGCTCTCTAAACAATCCAAAAGCATTTGCATTCATAGACCTTTTCACATATATTAAATTATCTGGTCATTAATGTTCTTTACTTGTTTTAATCGATGAAATATACATGATTATCCTATGAAAGCACTTGGCTAACATCCTCGCTGTCTGGTTCACTAACTGTTACAACCCCTAGTTCAAGTGGATTGAACTGATTGTAATGACTATTAAGTTCCTGATAATTTGATTTCAATCAATACTATAGTACTGCAACATAAGATCAATATTTACCTGTACAATAGTGCTACAGCAGTTGGGGACCTGTTTCAGAATTGGCTGGTCTTAGTATTCCCAAATCACCCTGGTCCCAACTCTGAAGGTTGTGCATACAAATTGCTTTGAACCGTCTGTTGATTCTCATGCTGAGAATGTTGCTGCTCCTGCTGATGCTGAGGTTGCTGTTGTTGCTGCTGCTGTTGCTGCCACTGCCCCCCAACATCTTGACCATGCAGTGGCACACCTCCTGGCAATTGATGTGGTACTAAGCTCTGGCTGGAAGAAGGCACTAAAGCTTCACTCCCCACTACATTTTCCTGTGCTGACCTAACCATTTGAGCCGTTGGAGGCGGTGCATCTGTATCATATATTGGCTCTGGATTCCACAGGGTTGGAGATGAAACCGCAGGTGCACTAGTGCCTGAATCACTACCCTGAGTAATTGATGCACTCGGAACTGTCTTATTAACTGGGCCCTGATCAGTTGATGATTGCGCCCTACCATCAGAGTTCATCTGCCGATTTTGCTGAAGCATTATTCTTTGAGTGCTTTGTTGAGATTGATTCATATAACGCTGCTGCGGTTGTTGATGTTGTTTAGGCAAAGAGACTGAAGAAGGAATTGGAGCTTGCTGAGAAGTTAACATGTTATGGCTGGGTGAACTTTGAGCAGAGCCTTGATTGCAGGTATCAGAAATTGGTGATATTTGCTTTGTTGACTGTGGAAGTGGATGAGGGTAGATATTTGTTTGACTTCCAGGTTGATGCAATGCTGGGTTCAGACCTGGATTACCAGGAAAAAATCCTTGGCCCTGCTGCATCATATGTTTATCAGAAACTTGGTTCTTAGAAGTTGTTGAAAAGCCACTAATTTGAGGGGTGTCTGCTGATAAGTTATGATGAATTAACACGTTCCCCCTGCCTAATCCTTTCATAAGTTTGACTTGCTGTTGAGACTGTTGCCTTTGCTGCTGTTGTTGTTGTTGTTGCTGCTGCTGCTGCTGTCTTGGCTGATGATGTTGAACCTGTTGCCGTTGTCTTTGCTTCATAATCTGATTTGACATTCCAGGTGGTGGGTTCCTTGATATACTTTGCTGCTTCTGTTGACCTTGTGAAGAAGATACTGGAGTCACAGGAGAACATGGCTGTGATTGCGGTTGGATCTGTGAATTATTTTGAATAGGTGACACTGCATTTTGTACAGAGATATGGTGTTGTTGATGAGGCATCAACCGTTGTTGGAGTTGCCTCTCTTTAGCAACCCGGATGGCATATGCCTGCTGCTGAGGGCTCGAGTGGTTTGTGCCTTGTATGTGATGATGGTGAGGGTTTCCAAGCATGTGTGCTTGTTGCAGCATCTGATGAGATTGTTGGTGTTGTTGAACTGGAAATGTCTGAATTGGTGCAGGAATCACTGCATTGGAAAAGGAGGCGCCCAGACCATTGAAAGGTGGAACAGACTGCCCATTCGCTTGTGAGGCTTGCATCTGTATTTCTTGCATCATCATTTGCTTATGTTCCTCTGGATTTTGACCAGGCTACACAAAAATAGATTTTAATATCACTCACCACCAAAAGTGCATTATTCTTTATAAAGTATAAAAAGATTATTTCCATTTTTTTGTCTTTGGACCATGTTTGTGATTTCTAATGCATGTTTACAATTGTTATGGACCATTCCAAATCAACTCAAGCTAAAAGTCTAAAATAAATTTGAGCCAACAAGGATACAAATAAAAAGTATTCTTAAAATTGATTCTAAGTCAAAGTACTAGTGTAGCAATCAATTAATCTCTTAGTGTATTATCTTGCATGAAACAAACCATACCATATGACGAAAAAATAATCAAACCAAAGTATTAACAGTAGGTACTAAGTCCAAAAATATGGAAACATTATATCATTGTTTCCTGTTATAGAACTTTTGAGGTATCACAATTTTCTCACTCAAATTATTGACACCCTCACCAAAGCACTACTATGTAATGCCCATAATTCATGGTTTGCAATGTGGGACTAAACCAAGGAAATTCCATTGCCACATGTCAGCTCACACAAAAAGGCCTGCTGAAAGTGATTTGATACTACTTGTGATGATCCAAGAAAGTCATTAGCCTAATAACTATATGATACAAGTCTTGTCACACAGCTCAAAATCCTTAATGTAATAATAGCGCACCAAGTCCATATATGGAAGTCTATCCTCAAATTATTTCCTAATGTTAAAGTACAGAGATAAGTCTATCTACTTATTCCAACATATTAGGAGGAGCATTCAAGTATTCTGCTAATATAAACATTCCTTCATCTATAAATGGACTATATTTATAAAATGTCAATATGATAGACCAAAAATATCTTCCCTCCCTCAGAACCCTAGTTTTAGTTGCAAAATTTGCAGCCCATCTACATTTCGGAGTTAAATTTGATGCCAACATCAATATAAAAACATAGAAGCAGGGGTTAACATGTTCATTGTACTGCAGGACTTATTGTGGCACATACTACACTGTCACAAAATTTCCATGTGGTAGAAATCCATGGATGAGCCAATCACAGATATGTAACAGACAGTATCAGTGGCAGGTCTTGGCATAAATACCACCGGGTCCAGCACTGACCCTCACAGAAAGGTCAGTATGTGCAGAACTCATAGGGTTCATCTGATACGTTTGAAGACTACTTCAACATCTCTCATTTTTTGTAGCTAATACTGTGCCTATAGCAACAAGCAAATGCCAGAAACAGGCATGAACAGGAGGGTAACCAATACATCCAGCAATATGTCAATGGTACCTCAATCCTTACGACGAGGCTAGTAGGTAAATGCTCATATCAAATGTAAGATCTGATGAACGAATACAATAATATAATGGCCAAGTAACTCATTCCTACAGGCAAATACTAGCTAAAGGAAAGGCTATGTTCACCCATCAAAGGGGAAGAGAAGGAACTACCAAGGTCATTCTAAACCAACAGAGTGATATGAGATCTGTTGCAAGTTCATATCTTCTCATGAAATGCAAGCTCAACATCACTTGTAGAAGATTACCCTTAATCTGGTGAAATGCAAGCTTCCAGAGTCACATAATAACATCACTTGTCTACTAGACACTTATGCAGTGCTTTATAAGATGTTATTTGTTTTCTTTCTAGTCAATGTTATTCATTTTATCTCTCAAACTATTTTAGGTCCTGATATGGACTGAACATGGACATACACATTGTCCCTCTGTGGGCTGATTCGTGAAAAACCATTCAGATGGCTAATTCATAAACTCTGCAAAACAAGTGATACTACATGGTTTTAGAATTGCCTTAGCATGGTCTTTAATGTGTCCCTATTGTCAGTGAAGTGCAAGTCATGACTCAAATCATCAAGATTGCAGTTACTATTCTAAAAATAGTTGACTAACACAAAATGGTTCTTATAAAAAATAATGATAACATATGCAGAAAATAAATCATGGTACAAATGTTAAGCGACATAAATTGGTGCAAGCAATTGCAAAACTCACCCGAAGCATCTGCAGAGGATCCCGTGGCCGCATCATTGAGTTTCCTGGGCTAGATACAGAACCTGGATGCACATTCACAGAATTTGGCACCCCATTTCCACCACTCGAAAGAATATTTCCAGTGGAAACTATGTTCAACATGCCTGGGGAACTTAATCCTTGAAATGCTGGCCTTGTCATGGGCATTCCTCTGTTCACCCCAGACATCATCCCCATACTACTAGCTACAGGCAACATTCGAACACCACGATCAACCCCCATTGGCAAAGCTCCAGGTAATGACATACTAGATTGCTGAAGGGTTCTTCCAGAAAGCATTTGGCTATACTGCTGCATTCTTTGTGGATCATCAACAGGTAAGCTAGATGGTCTTGGCACACCGTACCTCTGGGAATCCCTAAGGCAACATATTTTATTTATATAATCACTAAAAGTACCATGACAGAAGAAAGTTTGGATATAAACAGTAGAAAACTATTTTCAGAGGTCAACCAAAATGAGAAAAAGATTGGATACTCTGATTCTGAATACCTAGAAGAGGGATTCAATGGAGCAGAGGTTGAAGGTAAGCTGCTACTGAGGACCATACCAGGAGATCCTTGTAACATGGTGCTAACACTTGACGTAGAAAGGATAGAAGTCATAGAACCTTGATGACTTGGGACTGGTAAGCTACCAGTATGAGTACCCTGATATGCCATAGGAAAAACATCTGTGCTTGAAGAAACCGATTCACAAAAATCAAGTGGTCTGTGCAAACACCAAAAGAAATCTCAAGTGATTAAGCCAGCAAAAACATTAACAGGTGGAAAAAAATGAAAAACAAATAGGTAAGAATAACAAGCATAAAGCACATAAACAATTTGATACAACTTACGTTAGAATACCTCCACTCAAGTTGTTTGGGCATACAAGTGAAAGAGCAACTACATGGGAACTATGAATTGGAGTCATTTGTTTCCCTTCCTGAATATCAGTCTTCATGAAATACAAAGTCATAAAAATGAGGAACTATGATAGCATGCTTTAGTAAAGAAAGAAGTAATTTAAATAGAAAATGACATGAAATAAAAGGAACCAAAAACGTATTCTGCAGAGTCAATTGATACCATATTCTCTGAACCCAAAACATTAGTATTGGCACAAACTACAACTAAAGAAAACTAACTAATAATTTAGATAAAACAAGATAGATTTAGTTTTAAACTACAAGTATCTCAGGCACATCGCATGATGTTTCTTAATCCAAGTTATAACAACTTAAAGAATACAAAGATGTTTCCAGTCTTTTAGGCAATACCAAGCTGAAACTAGACAATTGAAATCTAATTTTGCCATGACCATAAAGGCATTACTATAAGATTAACCAGGATAAAGACACAATGTCTACAGGAAGACAGCTTCTGTCAAAGCAAAATGATTTTATCAAAATGTGTCTTCGAAAAATGAGGAAGTATGATAGCATGTTTTTGTAAAGTAATAAAGTAATCTAGACAGAAAATGACAAAATAAACCGAAAACAAAAACATATTCAGCAGAGACAATTGATGCCTTATTCTTTGCACCCAAAAAAAAAAGAGAAGTGGCAAAAAATACAACTAAAGGAAACCAACTGACAATTTAGATAAAACAAGATAGATTTAGTTTTAAACTACAACTCAGGCACACCACATGATGTTTCTTAATCCAAATTGTAACAACTTCAAGAATATAGACATATCCAGTCTTTTAGGCAATACCAAGTTCAAACTAGACAATTGAGATATAATTTTACCATGACCATAGAAAGACACTGATAAGATTAACCAGGATAAAGACCTGATGCCTACAGGCAGACAGATTTTGTCCAAGCAAAATGATTTTCTCAAAATGTGTCTTCAGAATATCCTCTTCCATTGGTCCCTGAAGACGCTGAAACAACTGTCGTGCACTTCCCTGATGTTGCAACGTAAAAGATGCATAACATTAGAAATGCTTGACACCGACCATCAACAGCATAAGCAGAATTTTGTGCTTTCAGCAAACAATTAACTGGAAAAGAACTAGTGCATGTCTCAGAAGGAGCACCATCAGAGGCCTTGCCTTTGGAATTCCAGGTAGACTGGATGGATATGGCTGAGATGAACCAGAGTCTTCTGCACTGTCAGCCCCATCACCAGCACTTTTGTCCATCAAAAATTTGTGTCGCTCTTTGCATTCTTTGGGTTTGCGGAAGATACACTAGTACATGGATGCATACATATCATAAATCCTCAGAACAAGGGGGCAAAGAATTTGATTTTCCAAAAAAAGTAGTATTTAAATGAACTGATTCAAGAAAATGTGTGAGAATGTGTTTAGGAAGATTGCCATTACAAGATAAACTAAATTTGCAAGAATAGATGCATATTTTATAATAATACTATGAAGAAGGAAGAAAATATGTAAGCATTCAAATAAAGGTGATCATGTAAGAAATCAGACATAAAGCTAGAATTAAAAGTGAAACCAAACACACAAGAAAAGAATTACTATAGCAAAATGATATAGGTCCTCGCAAATATGGTAGCTTGAGTATAAATTTAACATCAGAACTTCACCTTGAACTGGAGGGTATTGTTGATTGCATCACTAACTAGCTCCCAGTTTGGACCCATATCATGAACAAGGACAACAAGTGCCTGTTATCAACATAATATGATATTCAAAGAGCATTTTTGTTATAACAGAAACAATGGTGCAAATGACAGAATAGAACAACAACCTGATCCTCAAAATTTGTCCATGGACCTCCCGATCCAGATTGCCCAGCAGTCATCTATCTCATGGAACAAGACTTTTCAGGAACCAAAACTAATAAAAGTGTCAAGCTAAATATGGAAAACCAACTCATTTCATGTCATATTTCTTTAATGATGAGGACAAAAACATTTTTCTTCTATTTTCTCCACTAAGAATGCAAGTCAAAAGACACAGCTAGAACTAATTTTACCTAAGCACAAAAGGTGCAGACTGACAATAAATTCCAAAATAAAGGATAGCATATATGAATCTGAGTATATCTTGAAAGATAAAACTACATTATAATCCAAGAATTGCAGCCACCAAAAAAATCAAAACAAAAACTCATAAAGCAAAAGATATACCTTCAATCCCTTTTTTCGTGCACGATCCCGAGTGGCAATGATTTTGATAAGTTTATTCGAATTGGACATATTACTCATCTGGGAAGCAACTGGTGAAGGCAACAACCCAGTCACTGGAGTAAGTGCATCAGGGGAAGCCTCTGGCATTTGCTTCAAAATTTTGGTCTTCTTAGCAGCATGTTGTGCGTAAACTGTAACCACGTAACAAAGATCCTTTAGGAAATATCCATGTCAAATAATGAAAATTATTTAAAAGATCTAATTCATAATGATAAAGAAGTCAAAAGAAATTACCACCACCTCCATTTGTATCAAAATTTTGAGACTCCATTCTCTTTTTAACATGTTCCTTCTGAAATACATAGTTAAGCATATAAAATTACAGCAATGCAAAATAATCATGCAATGACTTGATGGAAAATGAGAGGCATGATAATGGTTTGAGGACTCACTAAACACATTGGAGGACTTAATATAGCATTCGTTCTAAAAAAATAAACTATCCGAAATTGAAAAGTAAAACAGAGAAGAAATAGACAATGAAAAATCAGAAATAATGACCACATAAATAAGGACCATGAAGAGGACATACTCTAGAAGACAAGATCTACATGGATGTTATGTGATGCTCCCTCTCTTTAAAAAGGCCACAACCAAAATGCCGTTCGAACTGATTAAAGTAAAAAGAAAAAAGAAAAAACATATTACAAACACAAATCACCTGCTCATGCTGAATCATGGGTTCAGCTTGCAACCTTTGCTCATACGATGACCCCTGGATTGAACCCTGCTATATTACAAAATATTACTTAACTAACAAGAAATGTGCAAAAAAAGTGCTCAGGCACAAAGGTCCTTACCTTTCCAGGAACAACTAAAAGACCAGGTTCAGCCAAGTTTAGTGAATTCTTATATCCTAAATGCTTAGGCTTCTTCTTCTTCTTTTTAGATTTTGAGGATATTTCATTACCATCATATGGCAATTGCCTCTCAAAGTCTACTGTAGTCTCAACACCCAAATTTTTCCTGGACATAGATCCACCATGCAATGAACTCTGGTCATCTAGGAAAGAACTTGTGTCTTCACTTGAAGCATCTGTTTTACTAATTGCTCGTAGAGGCCCAACAACTCCAGAAGGATAAGGACTGACACCCCGCTGCCTTGTAGCTGTTCTTACACGTTTTGTTGGAAATGAACCAACACTAAAGGTACTTGAAGTTCTTTTCCCATTTAATATAAAAGGTTGATTTCCTGATTTGCTTTCCAAGTAAGGTTCATAAGAAAAGTCACCACCACCTTCATTAAGCCTTGTGGCAATGGATTTTTGTTGCATGTGTTTTCTCTTCTTCTGGGAAAGTTTTGATGATGAGCCTGCTTCAAACATTCCAGGCAGAAGATAGGTGCCTGTTTCACCTTCATCCTCTTCATATACATTTTCCTGAGGTCCACCTATATTTAACATATCTACTGTAATAAGTCCCGCATGTTAATATCAAATTGAAATACTTGACAGTGAGGACAGTTACCTGCCACAGAATTGCACATAGAGGTCTCACAATCATCTTGATGCACAGTACCATATTTCTGGAAAAAAATCAATTAAACATATAATTTGGGGTTAATTGGGTATTATGCTTTAACATTGAAATTAAATAATATTGCTAGAAGACCCAGCCAGCTGAGTCTTTGCTACATACAGAAGTCACTTTAAGAGGATATACAGGACAGACATGCAAATGTCTTTCATGTTTCACCCATTATGAAAATCATTTATCATTCATTTGGAAACTCTGGGATTGTACAACAAATGTCCACAAAAGAACATAAGGCAAAAAAAATTGAACAGCAAAAGTCTGACCAATTATGACATTTTACCAACTAGATAATGTCTTTTTATAATATTTCCAGTGTCCACAATAATTAGATTTGAAACTGTAAAAAAGGCAATACACATTTTTTCCTTAAATCAGTACATACTAGTCCAAACGGTATTTCCTTAAAAATGATGGAAACAAACTAAACATGGTAACAAAGATTCAGGACCAAAGTAGCCTGATTGGAAATCAGTAATCCCCTTCTTCCGCTCATTGAAATCAGCAATGTCCCAACTGACACATTTCAACTTTAAGAAGATAAAATTCAATATTACTCATTGAAATTTTTAAAGAAGCACATAATTTTATCACTTGATATTAGAATAATTGTGACAGGGTAAAGGTGATAGAAATGTCCATAATATTATGTCAATGTCCCTTTTCTCATAGAAGAACAACCCCAAAATAACCAGAAGCTTTTTAATCAATACCATAGTCTCCAAGAATGGTTCTTTCAAGTACATCTATATTATCACGTCATTCAATAAACATTTGGTGATTTGTATAATAAACAAATTGTTCATCACCTGGTAGAGACATTAGTTAATCATTGATTATGATATTGTTTGTTTTTTATGGTGACAACTGACAGCCATCATTTGACGTTTCAGATACCAGACCCATGATGGTCCCCGGCTGGACAAGACCATGCCTCCTCCCAACATAGTGCACCAGTTTATGCTATGACACTTTTTAAGATTTGAAGTATACACAATGTTGAGTGGCACATGTCATGGTCCATGCGCTGATCCAAAAGGCCCTCATACAGTATGTAACAGTATATATCAGTCCAAGCGAAACATAGAATCATACCGACAACATAGGTAAAGATAGGGCAATCCTTGGTGCCATGGTATGCTTGCTTGATTCCAACTACATGGCAAGTGCTCGAGTCACAAAAGCAATCTCTCTCCGTGCATAGTAAGCCTGTGTGTTTGACCTTCCCTTACATTGGCCACCTTTTGGCTAAAATTCTTCCTTGGAGATTTTTCAAGATAAGATGGTGCGTTGTGGTCATATGCATCTTGATCAGTGAAAATTCTCTAAATTCTTTTGGGGTCTGAATTAATATTCCCAAGCCAGGTTAATTGTAATATGTCAAACATTTTTTTGACATTCATAGTTAAATCTGATAGACGATATAATTTTATTGTTATAGTGTTATATGAAATAAATGATGACAGACAAAAGAAAAAACTAATGTTTACCTTGTAATGCATCCACTGGGACTCCATAGATTTTCTGTATGCCTGCATCGCACCAGAAGGTACTGTATAGAAAAGACTTTCCTGCAGAAAATACAAACCAGTGTGAGATCCACATCACGTGTCAGAGGGTACAACTTGCATGTTAAAGGCAAATCATTTGGAAAACTTATACTGCTACTCCAACCAAGGGGTACCACAAACACAAAGCAGATGTAAGAAGACTTTCAGCTAAGAACAGTTCCTTGATCCAACAGAAAAATGTCAAAAGAAAATAAAATTGTTATACATGATACGAAAGACTCTAGTCCTTACTTCAGAAAGTTGATCTTCCCAAGTTATTTCCAAAATGCCCACATCATTTTGTCTATCAGGAGTAGTTGGTGCTTCAGCCAAGGCAGAATGACTTGATATGCTGCCATTATATTTCAGCATCCTAACTGCATAGTCCAAGACAGTATGACGGTCCTGTTCGAAAAAGAAAAATACCATATTAGACACCAGCAAAGAATAATCACATGAAATGTTAAGGTCCATAAATATGCAATGAAATTCTTCAATATGACTAACATTGGGCCATACACACCAGGTATATATACTTAAAAAAAGAATGTAACAGTATCAGGTTCAAGAAACTAAGTCGACTCGCCAACAACTAAAAGAAAACACTTCACAGTATTTTCCTCCTTTTTAGCTACTAGTGGTCCACATCCACATCCTAGATTATCTGATATCCTTGTCAGTCTAGTAACCACTTTTGTCAGTGACAGTCTTGGTTCTGCTATGGGCAATGACATCACAGTAAGGTTGCTTAAATGTGTGAGAGAAATTTTTTGCTAGCATCACAGATAAGCTGCTCCTTTACGGCCTGGACCACCTGGTTAACCACAGTTCAAGTTACGAAAATAGTCTTTTTTTTGTAGAGATAAGGCTATGTACATAGACTCTTCTAAACCTTGCACTACCGCCACCCTTACATTTAAGAAATTTAAAATTTCAAAAGGTGATTACTTCACAGGCATCTATAGATTAATGACAGATTTTTTTTTCAATACAAATGGTCTAAAATTCCCTTAGGGCTTGGAAAAGAACATCAGCATAAGGAAAAACAGACTAACCATTATAGCATACTTTTCATAGACTCAATAGCACTAGAAAGTTCAAATTATTAGAATCGGTGTTGTTATTCACACCATGGATTCAAACACCAGTCTGATTCCATCTTCAATAGCCCATCAGACCAGCATGATTCCAATATACTGGACGGTATACAGACTTCTGTTGCTCGATATTACTGAAGATATAGTAACAACAAATGGTGTATAGGGTGGAGGGAAACCATATGTACTGATACCAAGACTTGGTTGGCTCATAAATACCATCAGTATGTCCCAGCATAAGTAATAAAGCATACACCTAAAAACACCTCAAAAAGGACAAGCTTTAGCTGTTAAAATTAAAGAAAAATCAACTAAAATATTTCTCTCCCATGATACTTCAATAATACCAAAAAAAAAAACAAATGGTACGAAAAATTGTATCTAATAAAATTCAAGCAGGTGACAATGATTGGCAACATTAGGAGTTTGCAAAAATATTGATGTGATCAGATTCTTATGGAACACAAAGAAGTGAATCAGTTTTATGACAGCATAGTTATCCAATATGTGAGAATATTTGTGGAATCCAAACTTACAAAGAAATACATGCAAGGAACATTATAAAGGATGAAAGTCATGAAACCAAGTTACGAAGTATAACTTGACTAAAAGTGATAATGACTCGAACCAGCTTCTGTAACATGATGATGACATGATGTTAGAAGTAGAAGCATGAAGCATTTCATGTCTAGTCAAATAAATTCATAAAAAACACCCAAAAAAGAAATTCAAAAAAGAAAGATTGCAGGATTGAATAAAAGAAAAGAGAAACATATTCAGAAAAATAGCTTTATCACAATCCATTTGCATAACCATGAAATGACCTACATAACAATGTCTAGTACCAAATCTCCAACCTGGTCTCTCTCCATTTCAGCCACCATGAAATTTGATGAACTGAGCCTATATAATTTGCATTCATGATGGATTGCATTAGGTGTAGTGTCACCCATACGGAGAGCCTCAGCTGCATGCCAGAAGTGCATAACTGCCTTGGCTAGACTTCTAGCCACGTTTCTTTGCACGCGCAATATGTTTAGCTGGTCAAATTTTCCTCGACCACAAGAAGCAATCAATCGAGAAACTTGTGAAGCAGCTGCAGTCTTCCACAATCTCTCCTGTTTATATACAATGAGTTCAAGAATCCTTAAAACCAAAAGTTTAGGTAATAGTGTAAGAATGAACTCAATAAAATGCACTACTCAAAACATCTAAACATGTGCCTTTTGTTGTATATTTGCGTCTATAGAATAAAAGAAAGAAAACACAATAAAACACTGTATGGAGAGTTTGTATCAAACCTGCATGAAATCATTTGCCATCCATGTCATTTCCTCAAGCACAAAATCCCAGTGACATTTTTGTTGCTTCTCGAAATATTTACTATCAGAAGACAGCTCCCCAGCACTTTTGAACCGTGCCTGAGAAATAAAATGTATAGGAGTTTTCTAGTTAGAATATCTCATGTATCTTACATATTCCATACAAATGACTAGATACGAACCTCTATTAATCTGGCCTCTTTCAATATAGCATCTTCATGTGCCTTTTTGTGACTTGCAGTGGAAGTCTGAATCTCAGAGGTAGATGTAGAACTCCTTTTTATCAGGACAGCTTCTTGAGAGCCAGAAGTTGAGGACAACAATAAGCTTGTTTTGATGCAATTTGAATCAGCTAAATTATTATCGATTTTCTTTTCTGGCTCACAACTGATTTCACCATTCAGTTTCACAGGTTCAGAGTTGGTAACAGGCAAAACTTCAATTTGAGCCTCAGTTCTGCTGTCACATCCATCATCTTTCAACTGAACAACTGAGTTGCTGAAGTTTAATTGAAACCTAGATGCATCATTAGGATTAGTGGGGCCATCGGCATTAGTTAGCTCTTCTTTTAAAGACCTGTTATCTGGCACAGATGTGGTCGCTTCAGATGTCTGTTTTAAGTCTCCTCCTGAACTACCATCAGTTGTCCTCGGCATCAAAGACTGACCGCCATCTGTATTTTCATGAATGTCACAAGTGCCATTTGCACAAAAAAAATTTTCTGTGATATCCACATCCAAGTTTTGATTGATATTGTCTGCAACAGAAATTTTATGACACAGATCATCCTCATCCAAACTGGTTATTGATTTATCTGTTACACCACATCCATTGTCATTTTCAGCACCACATGTGACTTCCTTACTTTTGTTAGCCTCAAGGGGGGCAGAAATTAAATCAACCGAAAGAAAATCATCCTTCCTGATAATATCACACAACTGAGAGGAGGTACCATTGGTAGCTTTCTCAGCAAGAGATGAATGTTGATTATAGGAGTCACTTCCCTGCAGATTTTCAGTAATTTTAACTTCTTCTACCCCTTGGGGCGATCCATCCATTACTGTGTCAGGACATGTGTCATTGTGTTGCATCATGTCTAGCTGCATATCCACTTGATCATCAGGAGCTAAAGCCTCAGGTACAACAGCACCATCTGGATTTGCTGCCTTTGGGTTTGAAATGGAAGAAGCAGCATGGTTTTGTGCTTGTAACTCTAATAAAGACCCTTTTGTACCCCTAGGACTAGGTGTGTAGGAAGACGTAATGGAAGCTCTATTGCCATGTCGAGAACCGGAATCAGTCAAACCTAAATTGGTACAATCACGACCTGTTCTTGATCTATTACGCCGCGCATATGCCTGGCTTTTAGCTCCAAGACGAAAAATAACAGAGTCCTCCGTATCTTTTGCATTATGACAACCATCAACATGAGAAGATTGTTCTAAATGAGAAATACTACCTCTTTTACTTCTATGTTTAGCATTTTTCTCTCCATGCAATTTGTTGTTTTCTCTATTCAAGAGTAATAAATTGTCTCCGATGTTAGGCTCACGACCGACAGAACCACCAGGTCTCCCACTGCTTTCAACTGACTCTCCATGTGGTGAAGCAGCCAAGGTAAAGCTACCTTTAGCTTCACTGTCGAGCAAAACCGGAAAAAGAGAAGAATGGAAATAGAGGCAGATATGAAATTTTTATGTTTAATACTAAACACACATCTAAAACAACTTAAATAGATAAATGAACAAAACCTGGTAACATATGGCTCAGCAACTTGATCTGTAAGAGAAGTAGATTGTACACTGATTGAAGCTGCATGAATAAATTTAAAATCCAATGGATTCCCCCCCTACATTAATCAGAAGGGTTTGACAACATTAAGAAAATATTGAAAGTCAAAATTAAATCAATAAATCAGCATGATAGATCATTAAAATATTGATGTGGAAATACTTTCTCAAGGAATTCCAACTCCTTTTTCCGCTCTTCACGTATGCCAAATTCTTGCCTGTAATAAGCACATTAAAAAATTTAACCCTTAGAAACTAAAAACTGTAATCAGCATACAGGATCGTGTCATTATCAACATACTGCAGATCAGCCTGTGCCTTCTCAATTGCTGCACGACGTGGTGAAGTTTTGGAATCTACACCAAGTCCACAATCTACAACACCACCCATGGGCTTGATCTCTGCATTTACCGGAAGAGACAACCCTGGGCTAAGCCCATGCATACCTGAATGTCAAGTTTCTTGACACATCAGTAAAGGAATAGATCCATAACTAGTTCAGACATTTGCACAAGTTCTGCAAGCCAAAAGAGGAATACAGTCAAAACTCAAAAGCATGCCAAAAGTGCAAAATAAATGAAATTGCAGAAATCACATGCAAAAGAAATAAAAAAAGAACAGAATGCCATAGATTTAAATATTTAATCAAATAACTACAAGAAATGAAGAGCAACATTTATATCCAGAAGAATCTTAGCCACAATTGTAACTGTCTTATACACTACTACAAAGTTCACTGTAATGTTTGATATAACTGCACAAGCCACAAAAGCTAGACACAGCCTAATGAGTTATAAAGAACTACGTAATTTCCATTCCAGATCAAAAAGTTATGCAGATCATTGTAGCACCAAATATCAAAAAGTTAATCATAGTTACTTAAAATTTTCTAGTTTCCTCCTTTGACATCTGCCCTTTATTATTCCAACTCATATCATCACAGCTATATACCAATTAATATTAAGTGCACCAATCATCCAAAATGAACTATAGAATTACCATTGAACAAAACAGTCAATTAATGGTCGACATATGAAAAGTCCATCTGCCGAAAAGGGAAGATCAATTAACACCCTGTACCATTTTATTTAACATCAGACGCCTTCAACAACAAATAGTGAAATGATTAATTGAGACTCATATGGCATCTATTTAGTCTCTGACGCCCCAACAATAAATAATGAAATAATTGAGGAGACCCATATGGCATCTATTTAGTCTCTTCTGGAAGTGCACAGCAAGAACTTAGCAGATAGAGACCAAGGTAATCATATAATAACTCAAGGAATTTTGATCTATACTGGTGTATCAAGCCCTGCTCAGTATGGTACGGTACGAACCCATGCATAATGTACCGTTGGTACACCCAAAAAGAGCCGAAAAACCTCCAAAAATACCTAGAGGTAACGATCCAAAAATACTAAGGTGTACCGACTGGTAAGTGTCAATAACGATCGAAATCCGAGGCATACTGACTGATACACCTCAATAATGAAAAAAATCCAATGTGTACAAATCAGTACCGAGGCATACTAGTCGGTATGCACCGGATTTCGATCGTTACCGCTCGAGACCTTGTATCACCCGATACGAGGTCAAAACAACGGTACCACCCGATAGAGGGTGGTCCGCATACCAATATCCTCTCGGACCGATACATACCGTCTGTACCGAGCGATACACATCGAAATTGAGAACCCTGTAAGAACCCCTGACTGTCTACTCGGGACAGGTTCTGGGTCATCAAAAACATCGTCATATCAGGATTGACTTGAATCTGTGTGTCACTAAGGGAAAAGGAAGTATAATTATGAAAATAACCATGAACCAATAAAAATGCAAGTGAACAGATTCGGATTAAGCCTAACACGTGCCAAACAGTGAGATGTAATTAGACCTTAAAAGCTGACAAGAATGGCAGAGCTGAGTTGCCGAATCAAGGAGAGAAAATGTCACATCTTATGTGGCATGCGCTTACTTCTGCATGATATGTTGGCCACTTACAAGAGAAGATAAATAACTCCTAGCAACCTGAAAAGAAATTAAAGGCTGCACAAGAATGTAAACCCACATTTACACTATAAAAAAGAAACTCGAAAGTAGTTTTCCTCTTAACATGAAAAGAATAGAATACAACAATGTCCTATACAGTTCCAACTACCAACCATATGCAGTCATACACCTGAATATTTTTTCCTTATTGAGCTAGGCTGATAGCAGCATGACTAGTTAAGCCAAAAGCCATCATATCTCTTTTTAAAATTTCAAATAAAGTTTTCTTAGATCTTCACAAACCTCTTCTCACACCACAATCCTACTTGGCTCACCTTCTATAACTGGTACATCTAAAAAATTCCCCCTAAACGAAAAAATAAAAAAGAAGACAGATTGCAAGATTTAGGTGCAGCTACGAACCTGTCAGTCACAAAGTGCATATAAGACCAACCAAGCCATGGGCTGCTTTTCTTGTTAGTTCCATGAACACAGTTACTCCTGTTTTCTAGAATTTGGTAAAAATGTGCCTAGCATGTGCGAACACAGAGACAAAATACTGTACCATTTGACATGGAAACCTGAGATAGCAAAATTTGATTCCTTGGTACACTTCCATCGGCGAGGTTTCAAACAGATATGTTCTTTTTCTTGATGTCTCCAATATATATTGATTTCCCCATATTAGAACAAAACTAAGGCGTTTAAGTAAGTCTCTTTAAGATACGACTTTCCATGCAAAACAAGCTAATTCATATCGTGCCTGATAAAAAAATCTCAATCCTAACGAGTAAACTTCAGAAATTAGTACTTCAAAACAAAATTATTTGCGTCCGGAAATCACAGCAGAGCCGGGAAGGACCTTTGCAGGCAAAATGAAGAGCACCAAGTCGTTCAGCACACCAAAAGAGCAACAATTCAATAGAAATGAGAGGGCCCCTGCAAGAGTACAGGCGTAAGTCGTCCTCGTAGGCGGAGGGAGAAGAGAAGCGCCGTTCCCCGACGTCAAGTACAGCTCACGAAGGAGAAAAACCTGAAAATGATCGGGGAAGGGTAATCGGGGAAGAATGAGCTTCCCGGAGGACGAACGAAGGGGGGGATTAAGGCTACGGCTATAGCTAGAGACACGGTTAGGGCTCGACGCGGGAAGGAAGGGGAGGAAGCGCCAACAGTGGGCAAGATGGATAATAGGACTTCGCTATCCGGGGGTGGAATCCGAGGAATCGCCGGAGGAGACCGAGCAGGCAGAGGGCACTTAGGGTTCTTGGGATCGAGGCTTATTAGGGTTCGCAATCGAAGTCGAAAGGGGGAACGAAGGCGAAGGTCGGGAAGGGGAAGACTGGGAGGAGATGTAAGAGGATTGCGTAATTGGTTCGACCGGACAGTTTTGTCGTTAGGGTTCGAAGATGCGGCCCGACTCAAGCCGAGCTCAGTCTGAGGCGTATAGCGCATTCGGATTCTAATAATGGATCCGAACTTGATATGGAGGAGTTGAAACCCGACAATATCCGAAGAGAAAGAAAGCATCGAACGAACGTCGATTTCGAAAGCAGAGATGGTCGGGGACAGGACAAGAAACGGGTCTGAAAACGTGAAACCCGGGTCCGAATATCCACGAACGCCGCGGAACTCAACTTTGGATTTGTTAACGGGTATGGTGTCTGGTTATCAAATGGTTAAATCGAGAACCGAAATATGATCAGCTGTGTTAAGAAGTCGAAATAAATTGATTGGCATCGTCGGTTTTGGAATGACCTGTGTGAATCAATTGGATTAACTAAAATTAATCTGATTTTGTACATATAACTAAGATTATTTAAACATCTTTATTTTTTTTGTTATCTACGTTAATATTGTAATCTAAAAAGCAATCATTTTTCTCTTTTGTGTGCTCTCTCGATCTCTCCTTTGGTATATATTATTACCTTCATCTATTCTCCCTTTGTTCATCCCACAAACACAACAAGAATAAATTCCTCGAAAATTAAATTATCGAATACCCTTTTTATAATTTTAAAAATATTTGTTTTGATTCGATGTCTTAAATTTTATACGTGCTTCTTAGTTAAATCATATGTAAGATAAATTATTTATTTTATATAATTGAACAATTTATTTTGGATTGGATTGATATAATTATTTCCTATGTATTGTTGCATGTTATTTAATCAGGATAAAAGTTTATGTCTATGGTATTTAGTTGATATTATTATTTTTTTATCCCATTCTATATAATTTAAAATTTTATTTAATATTTATGTTATATAATTTTTTATATATTTAAATATTTTAAATTAAGCATGCCATCCAACCCGTTGACTGACCAATGACCCATATGGACGGACAGGATTTGAAATGAGTACTGATAGGACCGAAAATTTCGCCTAATGAACGGTTAAAAAATAATCGGTGTTATTCAATAATCGAACTCCCTCGCGATGGAAAGAGGCTCATATGAAAATGATTTATCATATTATTCAATAAAATCAAGTAAAAAACTAGAAATAGTATTACGTCAGCTAAAATAATTACAAGAATGTGACCTAAAATACACCGGCCAATGAATCGAACTCATTCACGACCCAAAGCCTTTGCCAGCCCAAGAAACAACCGGACGTCCAACAAGTTTCCAACCAATCCGTGGCCGCCGCGTCAGGAACCGGTCTCGATAGGGAACGGGATCGAGTCCCTCCTGCACCGAACCTCCTCTGCGAGATCTGGATCAAACCGTCCGCGAAGCTTCCGTACCCGCTCACGATTCCGACTGCCTGCTGCACCATGGTGTCCTGTGCGGCACAGGAGAGGACCGCGACTCGAGAGCAAATCGTTGACCATGATCCACCCCGCAACCACGCTTTTTCCTCCTTCATTGTTCTCATTCTCATCATCATCCTTCATCGTACAAGATGACTGCTTGCTGTTTAATCCGTTTAGCATCACTACTTTATCCATCAGCAATGGAAATCGAAGCAGCAATCAGATAAATACACGATGAATCTCTCTACTTCTGTAACAAAGATATGGGCGCTAATGAATGATTGCTTCGAAGTACACCAACGGCAGCGAACAATGAGAAGTACTAAAAAAGACCAGTTGAATAGAAGTCGGCTCTTACCGAAAGAACAACTGTAAAAGAGCTCTGCTGCTGCAATGTATTGGAGCGATGGAAGTAGGAGAATTTAGAGATTAATCAACTGCGACGAGGGATTAATGACTAAGATAGCGTCCTCGGCGGAGCGGAGAAGGGAAGAAGGACTGACATCAGCAGAGATGACCTTGCCTCTAATCGGGGACCTTGTATGTGTCGAGGGTGATCTCCGACAGCCATGAACCGGGGAACAACAACTGGTACGAACACAAAAAAATCACATAAAATTCTAATCCTTGTATCATAAGGAAAGAAAGAATCGTTTCTTGTCTACTATTTCGGAGAAAAGCAGAAGGGAAGAAAAAGATGCTTTTTTGAATCTACGGACGATGATAAAACATCAACAACGAAAGAAACAAAACCGGATTCTTCGACGAAATAGAAATTAGGTTATTGAATTAGGCAACGAAATGATGCGGAGAACAAAAAGGACTCACATCGAGCTGTTTCTGGACGAGGCGGGGGCGCTTTCGGGGCCGCCGGCGAGCCCTGTGCCCCGTCACCGCGTAGATGTCCTCCTCGATCTCCTCCCTAGTGAGGGTAATCGAGAACTTGGTGCGCTCTTTTGGCTCCGTGCACCCCGACCTCAGCCGCACCGCCCTCTTCTCTGCGGCCTCCGGTCGCGACGCAATCGCTTGCAGCTCGAACACCGCCGGAGCTCTAGATCTCCGTCGTCTCGTCCTCAGCTTCGAAGGCCGAGCCGCAGCTGACAACGACGGCTCCGCTTCCGCTTCCCTCTCTGGCTCAGCCTGGGTATCCCCGCCCTTAGGAGGCGGCGGCATCGGTGGTGGAACTACCAGCTTCATCCGGTCCGCCGCCTCCCGGAGGTGAACCAATAGCTTCTCCCTCACCTCCTCGATCCCGCCGTCGTCATCACCGCCACACTCTGGGACACATATTCCGCCACCCACCGCCTCGGAGGATGTCCGGCAGGCTGCCCCGCCGCCGATGGCCTCGCCCTTTCCGTTGACGCTCATGCAGCGGAGCACCCGCTGGTTCCCACATGTCTTCAAGATCGGGAAGGAGAAGTTACGAAGGAGGTGCCCCTGTGGCACGTCGAATCGCCGAGGCTGCGCCTGAGAATGCGTCGACGACGTGGCAGCCTCCGACGGCCTCCTGGCCGTCTCCGCCGAATACACCGTGGATTCGGAGGCCCCCCCAGTCGTCGACATGACCCGTCTCTTGAGGTTCTCACAGGGGAAGAGCAGGAGGCCTCCGTGAGTCGGAAACCGCTAGTGTGAAGAAGAGGTGTACGACGTTTTAGGTCGAGGATTGGATGAAGGAAGAAAGAGAGAGAGGAGGAAGAGGCGGAGAAGCGGGCGGTGTTCCTTAAGCGAAGAGGGGTTATAAATGGAACGAAAAAGATATCGAAGGAATCGTTACAACTTCGCTAAGTGGTTTCGGACACACGCAGGACGGCCAAGCCAATAGAAAACTGCCACATCGTTGTTCGAGGACTATGGAACGATTGATTTTACCGTTTAATCGACGTCTCGAGAATGGAACGACGTGGAAATTTCCAAATGAATCAGCTTTAGGATGCGGGTGTGCTGCGCCACGCACCGAGCTTTCGGGGTTTTGCTGTTATTTCAGCGTCGCGCTTTCCCTCTCCTCGTTTTGAATGGACACTGTGGTCCACGTCGCATGTCACGTGAGCGTTTTCCATACAACCCAGACTTGGGACTGTGCCGGCGGGAACGCATGTGTCGCACGTGTGAAGACTACGTCAAAAGGAAGCCGCATGTCTCACGTTACCCGTTTGTTGCCGCATCGCAATGGATTGTCTTGATGGTGATGGGCTCGCTCTTTGGCTGTCTTCAACGGACATAAAGTGGGTCGGGTTTGAGTCGTACGCGAATCAATTGAATTCATACCCGAAATGGTCCGGTCAGCTTTTATACCCTCACCAGACTCACGGAACGGCGAACCAAACGTTGTACCCACCAGGCAATCAGAGCCGTCGAAAGAGTCGACACATCGGCCGGTCACGACAAGTAAAACGACACTTTTCCTACTCGTGTTACCGATCTGATGAATCTCTACGAATCAGAAGGCGGGTATGTCTCAGTGGACAGAGAATCAAGTGTCGACGGACACCTATTAGTCTCGTACCCAATCCTACACCTCGACACGTTTCAAGATACAATTGGTGAAGCTTGCAGTGAGGGTGCTCGTTCGTGTCTGCAGTCGGGTCCGGGTCGGCGTCAATTAATGCTCTTTCCCATTTGATTAGGTTGTTTGTCTGGAAACCCGCGAGAAAGAAACCGAGAGCGCATCCTAACGTTTTTGACAGGAGGCTCCCAGTTTTGCTTTCTTCCGCCTCGCTCGCTCTTTGGATCGCGAGCCGAAGAAACCCTGTCGATGATGATAGTCGCAGAGAAGGAAGGGATTGCAAGAGCAGCCAGAGGCCCGGTAGCGGATTGCCCGGCTGCCTCGCCTATTCCGCCGCTAAATTCCCGACCCCGCCGCCTCCACAATTTCTCCTTCCCGACCCTCAGCTGGCGTGGCCAGCGCTTCCTCCGCTGCTCCAAACTCCCCAGCGGCGCCACTGTCGAACTTCCCGGATCGGCCGATCGCGACAACAGGACTTCCCAGATGAAATCTTCCCCTCCGAGGCCGTTGCCGGGGTTTCGGGATTCGAAGGAGGGGGAAAGGATAGGGAGCGAAGGACGGGAGGCAGAAAGGGACACCTCTTGTGCGGCGGCAGGGGCAGAGGCCACTAGGCCCTGGAATTTGAGGACGAGAAGGGCTGCTTGTAATGCACCAACCGAGCGGGCTCTGGCAATGGAGAAGATTAATTCTCCGGTGAAGACGATGAGGCTACGATCAGATGAATCGGAGAAGGGTGAGACGAGGAAGTTCTCGATCTCGCTTTCTCGGCCGGAGATCGAGGAGGATTTTTTCGCCATCAAAGGCAGGAAACTCCCTCGGCGGCCAAAGAAAAGGGCTAAGATTGTTCAGCGAGAACTCGATGTAAGTGATTCTTTCAGGGAGAACGAAAGTTTATTCGTTGATTTTTGATTGATTTGATAGTCTTGGCTATGGTTTAATTCCTTTACGTGCTTTCTTCCCCAGTAATTTTTCATTTACATGGATTTTTATGCAGTCACTTTTCCCTGGCTTGTTGTTGTTGTCAGAAATAACTACAGACTCGTACAAAATTGTCGAATAAGGTGGCGTACAATTCCTTTTGTTATGGTTGTGCATATAAATAGCAATGCCCTTTTCAATAATTTTGCGTTATTTTCCAAACCAGAAGCTATATGCATTGCTTTTCTTTGCAGATCTTGGAGGATTCCAAAAAGGGCGGTGCTTTTGTCATAAAGCTTCAAACTGTTGTCTATTCTTGGAGTCTTGTTTGTAATCATGACCAAGGTTATGTAGAACACCCCGATAATCTGTAAATTATGTGATTAAATAAATAAACCCAAAAAAGTCTACTTTGCAAGGCTCTCCCTTTACATTGTTGTTCAATTGAATTCTATGTTGAATTTCTTTTGGATTTCAAAATTGCTTTACTTTAGGAGAAAACAGTAGAAAGGATTAGTTAGGACTCGTGTATAATGTATTTTACTTATTGCCCTGCTTTGGGATGGGATGGGTTTTAGCACTTTTGATGCAAGTTCATATTTGTTGGTATTGAAGTATCTCATTATTCAAATTTTTCAGGAAAAACACAAGATTGAAGCCATTAAGTATCAAATATACTAGCTACTAGAGAATATGTCGTCTCAGTGAATTTTGCATACATTTTATCTAAGACAATTCTCAAGGGGCGAGGATGCAGTTTTCTTTTCCTAGTTCTTTCTTTTTTGTTGCACTCAAGCTAAGTTCATTATTGATGTTAAGGAAAAACCTGGGATCTCAACATAATTCTGAGCATGTAACTAAATAATAAGAGATTGAGAAGAATAGAGAGAAGACATAAGACACAGATTTTACATGGTTTGGTTTTGAACCTACTCCAAGAGCGAAGAGCAAATATATTCACTGTATTATAGGGAGAATATAAACTACTAGTGACTTCTTATCAAATCCCCAGACCTTTTTTTTAAGGAAAAAATAAACTCATCTTTTTTTGAAGGGCCTCTTGGAAAGGGCTCACACCCAAAAATCAGCTCTCCCATAAACTTGGGGTTCAAACACAAAATGTAAACTTGATGATGCCTTGTAAAGTGAAATTGCTAAGGATGCTATGGTGTACTTTTTCATGAACATACATGGTAAGTAATTTATTTGGAAGATTGATCGACAAAATATTAGTTATTTGTTATTATCTGATTTTGGGTCAGTGTCAGAGGTATGATGTACTCAGCACTTGAGGGGTCTATTGTACATTGCCTCTGAGGTGGTTTTTGATCTATGGACAAGTTATGCAATTTGTAGAAGCCATTGGTGATGATTCAGAATTGAAATGTTCTGAGTTCTGACACATATATCATTGCCCTGATTCTGAGCTCATGTTATGCTTATGCTTCTCAATTTAATTCAAGAAATTACCGTGCAACACCTAGATATATATTTCCAGTTCCAACTAATTTGAATAACTTCTCAACTGCCTTGGAGCATCATTGAACTGTTTCTTCATGGTGATAAGAAGCATCTAGACGAGTGCCAAGTTTTCTCTGATTGTTTTTTAAAAGGAAATTACAATTACCGAGTTTAGGACCTGAATGTTTTGTCTTTGTTGCTGAGTGACATCCAATGTGACTATTGGTTCTATCTTATTGGATAATGATTAGTATGACTTCCTTTTTTGAGAACTTTCATTCTTAGTTTTCTCACGTGGCACATTTCTGCATCATTATGTTTAAGGTGAGGGTCACACTGATATCGAGTGTTTGGTGGATGTTATGAGAAAGTTTTCATAGCATGTCTTAAAGTTCCATTTGTAGTTTTTCATTCTTGCTTCCTGTGCATCAAAGTTCACCATCTGGTTTCATGCTTCAGGTATATTTTGTAATTCGGAAGGAATAAGCTACCTATCCTGTTTTGCTTGTTACATGAGTTGCTTTGTAGCTTTAAGACATTGAAGAGCCACGTTAAACCCAAACCTTAATTTAGAACATTCTTCTTAAACCACTAAGGAGCAAGTTTTTTTAGTATAACAGATGTTTGGTATTTACCACTTTCTGCTTTCTATGCCATTCTTTCTTCATCGCTTGTCTTGGAACTAATTTGTTATGACCAAAATACATTAATTCATGTTGTTAAGTTTTTGATAAAGGACTTTCATTAGAAGTGATCAATGAGAAAGTATCGGTTGTCGCAAAAGCCAAATTTCTCTATTTCTGGCACAGATCCTCCACCCCAGTCAACAGTTTGCCCCAAAAACAGGTGAAGTCTGTTCTTTCTAGTAATGTGTTAGCGAGACAATAGGCTTGCCACTTCTGAACATTTTGTAGAATGTTTGGTGCCATACAAGAATTTAGAACATTCTTCTTACCAGCTCTGTACATTGCCTTTTTGTCTGCAGTGATACCAACTGATGATTTGAATCGCCGTCTTGATTCTTTTATGGTTCTTGTAGATGCTGCTGCTGTTCCAGTTACAGATCACGAATTTTCTACCATTCAGTAAATGCTAAAATGATTCAAAATCTACAGGTTTGTGTTTAGAGAGGATCAACATACACCTGCTGAAGGAAAAGATGGGAATGTTGAACATCAAAATTTATTCACAGAAAGGGTGAGATTGAAGAGTTGACAGATTCATGTTTCACTGCAGAGCAGAATTGTTCTGTCGTCAGTGTCTTCTTCATCTCTTGCATGGCTTAAAGTCGTATCCTTCTTTCCTTTACCAAGTAGTAGCGGTGTTTGATTTCTTCACCCTTGGCCTCAGTTGCTTCCTGACTAATTGAGTTCTTAGTTCATGTTTATGCCTCACTTAATCCAAAGTTGATTTCTCTCTCTATCTGAAACAGGAAAAGGATGAAGCTACCGGTTTGTTCATCCGCAGAATTCAACATCGGATGTGATCAGGCTTCCGTATCATGTTTACAGCACAAAACGGGTGACATGTCTATACATCTATGATGGTGTTAGGTCGAAATCCTCTCATTTGATTTCTCCATGTCAATCGCATCAGTCCCATCTGTTGTGTGGGCAACGATACCAACCCAAGGATTTGGTGGAATCGACAACTTCAGTTCTGTGGAGGTAACTATCTTGATATTGTTTTCCTTCGCCAAACAATGAGCTCACGTCGTCGAAAGGGACTCCGTTGAACATAGTTAGCAAGGTACACACCGTTTGATGGATACCGTAATGGACCATCAATCAAATGCTTGACTCAAGAATTGGAGTCCGAATCATTAGGTCTGATCGTTGGAATAGGTAGGTTCTTCATCGAATCACATGTGATTGTCTCATTAGACTTTCACATGACAAAGAATAAGCGAGTTGGTCACCAAGTCCCATTCGAGATCTTATTCGCACAGTATTTATGAGTCTACCCATTCAATATGGGGGAAGTCAAACATGCAAAATAGTCTTAACGCCTATGGCTTAGTCGTCATCAGCTTAAACTTGGCAGCCATCGATCCCGTCTGATAGACACAATTTAGTTGATTTTGAGCGATTAATGGGTACGGGCTAAGATGTAAGAACAATAGTTGATGTAGGATAACAAAATATCTATAATAACATAATCCTTAGATTGGTCTTTATTCGAAATATACGTGATTGTTATATGTACTGACACAGCTTCATCATTTTGATTGGTTTGGGTGAAGGTGCAGTTCGAAGTTGTTGGAAGTGAACCCGTCACACAGTACGTGAGGACGAAACCGGCACGTATACGACCCGAAATTTCCTGCGTCAACCATAAGACGAATTGCAGCAAGTAATCGGATGGTCTCCTCCATATATCCATCCTCGACGCCATTTGCCTGCATCCTGTCTGCAGCTGACCCGAGCCAAAATATCCTGCAGGATCCTCTTCGATGGAGTCGACGATGTGTGGGTGTTGGAAGAGGAGCGGGAAAGGAAAGGGGGGAGGCGGAGGCGGCGACGAGGAGCAGCAGCAGTCGTCGCCTTGGAATCTGTTCATCGATCTCAAGGTGTTGGAGGCCGCTACCGATAACTTCTCAGAAGCCAATCTCCTCGGACAGGGCGGCTTCGGCCCCGTTTATAAGGTATATCGCCTCCCTTAGCTCATCCTTAACAATCTTGATTGCTGGATTTGGTTCTACAATTGGTAGAATGGTTTTGTCAGCTAGATGATTCTTCATAACGTCTTGTTGACGGTGCACACGTTGTATTGTCACTGCCTATCGAGATCGAATCACTACGCCTTTCCTGTGTGTTCTGTTGTTCTGTCACGAGTGACGAGTTATTGTGAAGTTCTGCTGCTGTTCGAGTCGTAAGTACTACGCCGCGACCTTTTTGACCATCTGAAACTGTTGACTCGATTTGGTCTGTTTTCACACGGAGCCTACAGTAATAGCTATCTCTTGTGGACACGCATAGAACATGAGGAGCTGTTCTTCCTTCTTCGCCACTTCGGTTAGATCTGTACATTTCTCTCCTTGCGTCATGGCATCTGCGGGGCTTTTGCCCTTCATCTCTCTCTCTCTCTCTCTCTCTCTCTCTCTCTCTCTCTCTCTCTCTCTCCAGAAATAACATGGAACATAAGTCGCTATAGGAAGAAAACTTTAACAGACGATGAATAAAGGTATCATATTGGAAAAAGTTTATGATTAATGACTCATGAAAATTGATGGATGGATGTTGGACCAATTAATGCAGGGGGTGATGAAGAATGAGCTGGAGATAGCAGTGAAGAAGCTGTCGTTGCACTCTCGGCAGGGGGTGCGGGAGTTCACCAACGAGGTCAGTCTACTGCTCAAAGTCCAACACCGGAATCTGGTTTCGTTGCTCGGCTGCTGCGTCGCCTCCGATCAGAAGATGCTCGTCTACCCCTACTTCCCAAACCGAAGCCTCGATCACTTCCTTTTTGGTTTGCATCTCACCTCTCTCTCTCTCTCTCTCTCTCTCTCTCTCTCTCACACACACACACACACACAGAGACACAATTTTAGTCATCATGTACCTAAGCAACTTTGTGCATTACAATAAGCATTTTTATTATGCATCAGTAACGTTGTTTCACATACTTCACACACTCATTGATCAAATATGCATAGACTAAATAAAAAGTTGAATGATAAATTCATACATCTCTATGTGATACGATAATTGATGTTGAAAAATAAAACTTTGATCACATCAAAACAATGAGCGTTGTAAAAAGAATATTTGACAGAAGGGACACAAGGATTCCATTTTTTTGGAATAGATATACATTTCTTTCACCCTTCATGAGAAATCCTGCAGCAAGAGGCTTATCTTGCACTGTGATGAAGGCAGGGAATCACATCTATGGCGTTTTCATGAACGGTTGGGTGCTGGTGGAGCTCAATTAAAGGAATCAGAGTGAATGAGTTAACCAGGAATCTCAGGTTTGAGAAGAGAAATAATCTTCTTACTCTTGTTTCGTCAGTATCTCCAAGAGGTCTATCTGACTGGGTTTGATTAGGTTCTAGTTTCTATCAACATAATCAAGTGGTGGTAGAGAAGAATCAGTCAACCTGCCTGTAGTTGATCATTGTGCTTACCAGTAGATAAATATCTGATCAGGAAAAAGACACAATCAGTAAAGCATATTGATTCTTGCTTCCGTTTTAGGTTGGAAGTCCACACAATCACTTCCCACTTGCAAATAAGATTACAATGTTTTGCCTTGGTTTTAAGTATGCTTCTGACCTGTATCTTGTCTTGTTTCTATTTCATAGATTGGTTTATGAGCCATAAGAGTTGTGGCCATCCATGATGCAATATTTTGCTTACTTTGGTCAACTGCTCTGTTTTGTGGAGCAAACACAAATCGGATATTACATTATAATTAAGAATGACCTGAGATTTATTGCTTGCTAACATCAGATAAGCGCAGAACGGCATCACTGGATTGGTCGAAACGTTTTGAGATTATTGTGGGAGTGGCAAAGGGCCTTCTGTACCTCCATGAAGAGTCTCCAGTGAAGATCATCCACAGAGACATCAAAGCCAGCAACATTCTACTCGATGACCGATTGAACCCAAAGATAGCTGACTTTGGCATGGCAAGACTCTTCCAAGGGGATGATACGCATGTCAATACATTTAAGGTTTCTGGTACCTAGTGAGTTCTCCAAGGATGCCGTTCACATCCTTTCCCTGAGCTGTTGTGACTTCTTGCGGAATCGATTCTTGTGATCCTGATGCAATAAGAACTTGCGTTTGCTGCAGCGGCTACATGGCACCGGAGTATGCACTGAGCGGCTATCTGTCAGCGAAGGCTGATGTCTTCAGCTTTGGGGTATTGATGTTGGAGATCGTGAGCGGGAGGAAAAATATCGACAAAAAGCTGGACGAAGAGCGGATCGACCTACTGAGCTACGTAAGTTCAAGCACATGCCATCTTAGGAATCGTGTTCTGGGTGCTAAGATGCTTCTTTGGCTCCGATGCTTACAGACATGGAAGCTCTTCGAGGAAGGTAAAGCATTGGAGATCGTGGATCCTAGTATTTCCACTTGGGACCGTGATGAAGCCGCATTGTGTATCCAAGTCGCACTGTTGTGCTGCCAAGCCGTGGTTTCTGTCAGACCTGAGATGCACGGTGTCCGTCTCATGCTATCGAGTGAGTCGTTCTCGTTGCCGAAGCCAGGAAGGCCTGGAACTCGTGGAAGAGAAGGGCGATGGACAAGCACCGCCACATCAACTCTCACCAGGACAAGCGCAAACAGTACTGCTGCTTCCACTGCTACTGATGCCACCAAGTCTTCTTCCATCTTTTACGGCATAGCTGAAGACTTCTCTCGGAATTCTATCTCCGTATCGTTTACTACGGAGGGCCGGTGAAATGAACTCTCTCTCTCTCTC